AGAACTGTATGGACTTAAAAATGGCTAATCATTACAAAGAACAGAAGAGGCAGGCTAAAGGTTTTTGCATTTTCTGTCATCATTTCAAAGGGCAAAGACAACCAGAGGAAGAGACTGGATCATCATTATTTATTCAACTACTTGGTCCTTCCTGTGGGGCATATCTTTTTTGCATCACTATTCCCAACTAGCTTTTCAGCCAAAGTCTGTTTATTGGATGTCAGGTTGACTGGAAAGGTGGCCAATGGAATTTATGTGAGAGGAGCATATCACACATGTGGCCTGCGTCCAGGATTCATTCATTCATTCTTTAAATATTTACTGAGGACCAACTGGGTGCTGGGCCCCATTCTGAGCATATCAGTGAGCTAAAGAGATAAAAACTCTTGCCCTCTTGGAACTTACATTTCTGTAGGAGAAGACGATAATAGCACAAGAAATCCGTTTTATGATACATTTGGAAGTAATTAGTGAAATAAGGTAGGGAAGAGGATAGCTTGGGGTCAGAGTGGATGTTAACATTTTTAAATGGGTAGTTAGGAAAGGTCTGCCTGACCAGATGACTCTTGAGCCAAATTTGAAGATGGTGAAGAAATGAGTGATGCAGATGCCTGGGGCAAGCACCCATGGGGGTCCAGGCATGTCTGGTCCGTTGGAAAATTGGCTCCACAAAAGTATTTTTGAAGAGGGTTCAAGATATGCGAGACAGACCAAATCCTGAGAGAGAACAGAAAGCTGTATGCATGATGAGCTTGACCCAAGAGCCACTGAAGATGAGAAGAAGAAAGATCCTACATGGTGGTTCATGTTTAAACCTAGTTCTGAATATGTCTAGAAAGAATTCTGCTGCCCAAGTGACACTGAATTAGCACTGAGCATATCACAGTAAGGGAAGACCCACCTCCCTTCCTCCACAGACCTCACAGCAGAAAGGACTATGCTGCTTAGGGTGCAGGGTGAGAAGCGGCAGTGGTCGCTGTTGTATGAACCGCCCCTCCCCCCCCCCGGGAACTTGGCCCCTAGCAATTGGCTCTTGAATTGTGGATACTGGTGGGGCTTACTGTGTCTTGTGCGATGAAGGGCAAGCCCAGCGAAAACTACTGTTCTGCATCAGGAGAGAGCTGGAGGAGCCAAATTGTCAGGGTGGCAAGATTCGTAAGTTAGAGACAGAATAAGGCAGAGCCTGGTAGACATCAAAGTAATGGAGTACAAAAGAAAGAGATCTCTTGGGAACTTCTAGAAATAGGTGTGTTTGTGTGTGTGTGTGTGCGTGTCTGTGTGTGCGCATGTGCTTTATAGGAGGTCGAGGTCTGTCAGAGTAACTTATGTGTGGAATTTATTTTTTACAAGTTTTTATTTATTTAAATTCCAGCTAGTTAACATACAGTGTAATATGAATTTCAGGTGTAGAATTTAGAACTTACATATAGCACCCTGTGCTCATCAGGATAAGTGCCCTCCTTAATACCCATCACCTATTTAACCCATCCCCCTACCCACCTCCCATCCAGCAACCCTCAGATTTTTCTGTATTAAGAGTCTGTTTCATGGTTTGACTCTTTTTTCCCCCTATGTTCATCTGTTTCATTTCTTAAATTCCACATATGAGTGAGATCATATGGTATTTGTCTTTCTCTGACTGAATTATTTCACTTAGCATTATACTCACTAGCTCCATCCATATTGTTGCAAATGGCATGATTTCATTCTTTTTTATGGCTGAGTAATATTCCATTGTATATATACCCCATCTTCTTTATCCATTCATCAGTTGATGGACATTTGGGCCCTTTCCATAATTTGGCTATTATTGATTGAAATTTGCTTTAACCTAATTTGTCTGCACAGGCAAACATGTAGATTATTTCTTAGCTTTTTTTTTTTTTTTTTTTTTTTAGTATTGAATGAAAGTATTGCCATAAATACTTTCTCATGTTTTTTTTTTTTCCTTTTTTAGGCCAACAATACCAAAGGCCAACAGTAAAGGACAGTACTAATCTCTGTAGCAGGGAAATGTGACTAACACCACAAATCTGTAATTTAGCAAACTCACCTAAGAAAAACTGAATATAAATGACCACAACTTGGGCGCCTGAGTGGCTCAGTTGGTTAAGCGACTGCCTTCAGCTCAGGTCATGATCCTGGAGTCCCAGGATCGAGTCCCGCATCGGGCTCCCTGCTCAGCGGGGAGTCTGCTTCTCCCTCTGGCCCTCTCTCCTCTCATGCTCTCTCTCACTCTCTCTCTCTCAAATAAATAAATAAAATATTAAAAAAAAATGACCACAACTCTTATAACTATTATTTTTACCTGGGCATTTCAAGGCCAAGTCAGCAAGAGAGATTTAGATCAGAGACAAAGGATTTTGTTACTCACAACTCGTCAAGCAGCATAAACATCAGCATATTTTGTATCTTTAACCTCCTTTCTTACTTAGCGGACAGTAAGGGAGCTAGGTGACACCCACAGGTACAGTTAAGTTGTATTATAGGAGAGAAATACTGCACTTGGAGAATCTGAAAGTTTCATACTGGGAAACCAGCTTGTTGGCCCATTACTTGGGATGGGGATAATATCTCTATCTTCCATGAGTGTTCACTACACAAATATCCTTGCACAGATAATCTGGGACAAAAGAAGTCAGTGCTTCTGCTTGCAAGATATGCAGAAAATGAGAGACCTACAGAAAACTGTCTTCCAACAACATTAGCAACTGGTTTCATGGAAAAAAGCCAAAAAGAGAAACACAAACCTAACACTTCCCTGCTTTTTGAGACTACATCTTTCTTGGAAGAAACCCTGCCACAACTAATAAATTCTCAAATTGCCATGACCTTCAGATTGCTAGCCATATTTTCTAGAGCAGTGCAGCCCTTTCTATTGCACTACTGGGGGATGGCCCCAGTGGGCATATACTCCAGGGCTCTTCAGGCCCAGTTACTTGAGGTGAATACCCTGTAGAGACTGGTCTCTCACTCAGTATTTCTTTAATACACTCTGTTTCATGTTCTGCAGAACCAATGGCATTTGGTCCTAAGTGGGTAGACCTAGCTATCTGGTTACCTAGTGTCGTGGGATGGAGTCTGAGATGGAGAAGAGATTGTTGGAAGGGAAGCATGACACAATGGCCAAATCATAAACCATAACTCCATTAAGTCCCATTTTCATATTGAATAGACAATGAAATTGTATTACCTGTCTCTTACAATGGGAAGAAAAATCAATATGTGCCATTTCTTCTTGTGATGGATGTCTTTCTCTATCCTCCCTGCTGTTGCTACCCGCAACATTTTACATTAGCATGATAAGAAACATTGCAAAGTGTGGGATGGGCCTGGGTCTTCAGAAGGTGATTTCTCATATCAGTCAGTGAATATAGTGTTTAAAACAGCATTTGTCATTATGGTTAAAAAAAAGTGCCCATAACCAGCATAGAGTAAAGCAACGTTAAATTATTGAACAAAGATTCCTTTACCACCCTGTAGGATATCTGGGAATAGCAGTCAAGTGTGTATTACATAAAAGAAAATGTGCTAGATCTGGAATTCACTTCCATTCCACGTGGCTTAGTTATGTGGTCTTGATTAAATTTAACACTCTGACTCACATGTTGATATTTTGAACGGGGAGAATAATCTTTGTTCTGTTCTCTTCATAGGTTCATAATTATTAACATTAACAATGTACTATAAGCATACGAGGGCCTCAGTAATCATGTCTGATATAATTGTGAAATGGTATTACAATTATGACATATTTAAATCAAAGTAGAATCTTTTCATAATATTGACATTGAGGAACAAGATCAATATTTCTGTGAGTTTCAATTTTTTGCAACATAGGGAACCTAGTCTGATTGGTAAGAAGACAAAATTCATGTAAGAACGAATGACATTCTAAAATATGATAGGGTAATCTAAGTAATACATTTCTAACATTGTTTTCATTTTTCACTAATGTTTTTCTTTTTTTTTTTTTTTAAGATTTATTTATTTACCTTAGAGAGCAAGTAGGGGCAGCTAGGTGGGGCAGGGGTGGCGTGGGGGGGATTGACAGAAAGAAAGCAGGCCCCGGGGGGAGGGGGAGGATAGAGGGAAAGGGGGAGGATAGAGGGAAAGGGGGAGAGAGAATCTCAAGCAGATTTCCTGTTGAACATGGGACCCCACACAAGGCTGGATCCCATGACCTTGAGATCATGACCTGAGCTGAAATCAAGAGTTGCACGCTTAACTGACTAATCCACCCAGTTGCCCCTCACTAATGTTTTTCTTAGGTGCACAATCCCCATATATAACCAAGTGGCAACCAAGTTGTTTATTCATATTTCCTGGAGTGTCCTCTATTTCTTCATCTCAGTCTTCTGTGATAACATCACCCTTAATTTATGACTCTAGTCATAATACTACTGTCTTGTCTTTTTGACAACTGGGAAATTAAATAGGAATCAACAAATATACTGGGGATGGGTAGTAGAACAAAGGGCTTTGTTTCTACATGTGACTAGAGCAATTCATGCAAACCATGACCTACAAAGCAATCTACAATATCTGCTTTTGTTTTAATAAAACATGGATCCACAGCAAAAAATTCATGGATTTTAGCCACCAACACTGGGAATCAATGCACACAAGTACTAACTCTTTTTTTTTTTTTTAAAACTAATTCACTCACCACTAACTTATGTAAGTTCTCATCTTGAAACTGGTGATGGCTGACACAGAAATATTTCTAGGATCAAAACTGAAAGCAGGTAGATGCTGTGGTTGTGATGCTAAGAATATCAAATCTGCCTGAATTGAATACATGTTGAGGTCGCTGAGATTTGGTTCATTGAACAACTGGGTGACAGATATATAGTTCAGATATGACTGCACACTTGGAATTTCCTTTAGCAACTGAATAGGTGCTGTGTGTGTGTGTGTGTGTTTGTGTGTGTGGTGTGTTTACAGGACAGTTACCTGACAGAGTTAGTTTAAGACTCAGGTGTTATTTCTTTCCTCAGATACCAAGAACCAGTGGTCTCACTGGAGTGTTATCAGCTACATTGGAGGGAACAAGAGAGAATGATAAAGAAGGTAAAAGGAAGCTGAGTGGTTGAGTCCTATTTCTTGGATAAACTAAGGTCAGTCAAACATTCCAGAATATCTGCTTGCTAAGACTCAACTTGTGCAGGTCTGAGCCACTCTTTTGGATATTATTTAATGGCTAGACTAAGTATTCTTTTTTAAAGAAATTTTTAAAATTTTAATGCAGGCGAAGTCAGTGTGCCAGGTTCATTTCAGCTCCTTCCTTGCCAAACTGAAGGACAGGGTCTGCTTCAGTTTCTCTGCCTTCTCTTTGTCTGTGATGACAAGATATAAAGGTATCTGATGCATTGAACTTTAGACTTCACCTTATCCTTATTTTTCTTGATCTCAACAGATTTGGCCTCCTTTCGCCTGGCTGTGAGCAGAAAGCCCTTGATTTTATCGATTTTGTGAAGCATGGCTCCAAGGGGCACTCGAGAGCATGCGGCTGGCACCACAAGCTACAAGAAGCAAGGGGTAGACTAACTATTCTTGAGGTCGCCAACTTTCCTGAGCAATGGAAAGTCATGGTGGTACATGTGAATGGTTTAAATAGGTAGCTCTCAAATTTTAGCATGCATCAGAATCATCTGGAGAACCTTTAAAGCACAGATTGCTTGGGCCCATCCTCAGAGTTTCTGTTAGAGGGTCAGAGGCAGAGACTGCGAATTAGCATTTTTAATAAGCTCCCTGGTAATGTAGATACCACTGGTTGGGGGACCACACTCTGTGATCCATTAGAATTGCCTTGGTTCCATGTATGTCTTTTATAATAATCATATCAAACTACATATTCAAATCACTATAAGTAAGCTCCATTCCAATCCCCAAGCCCCTAACCCTTCAAATAATAGATGGGTGGGGAGTTAAGTAAAGCTTTTGAAAGTGACCAGTGGAGAGTCATGGAAATGAAGTCCACACTCAGAGGGACTGCTCTTTTTGAGAACCTGGCTGGCTTATTTTGAAATAAGCTGAATTCTAGTACTTGTGGCAGGGACTATGAAACACAAGATCCTCTGATGACAAAAATGATGACAACCTACCCCCCAGTTGATCATCTTCACTTGTAAGTATACCATGTGGAATTGGATGGACTCAGAGAAGAAGTGAAGAAGGATCCTGCAGGACAAAGTGGAAGGTCCAGATGCCAGGTAGCTGCATGTCCCCTCTCACTCTGCAGTAGACTCCAGAAATAGACTCCAGTAACAAGACGGACATAGTTTCTGCTTTCATGGGGCTTACTTCTTGGTGTGGGTGGGAGGAAGTGGAGGGAGGAAGAGAGAATGGGGGAGCAAACGATGGGAGGGAAGAAGAGAGACAGAACATGAGCAAATAAATAATCCAGAAAAATATCACATAGCATAAGTAAAGTGTGGAGAAATAGAACAGTGATTTGAAACCAAGAGACAGGTTACAGAGTGGCTATTTTGGATTGGGTGTTCAGGAAGGTCACTCTGGATGACATTTAAGCTGTGATTTGAATGACAAGAAGGAGTCAGCCATGTGAAAGATCAAGGGCAAAGAGCATTTCAAGCAGAGGGAGCAGCTAGTGCAAATGCCTCAAGGTGGGAGTGAGCTTGGCAAATTCAAGGAATGAAAGATCAGTGTGGCTGGATCATCCTGGGACAGAGTGTGAGTGATACCAGATGAGGTTGAAGGACAGGCTGGGGCCACTCGAAAGTCATTGATGGGATTTAATTGTAGGTGTGACAGAAAAAACTATTGGCTAGTAGTGTTCTGATGTGATTGGTATTTTACTGCTGCAGCGGACAGAACACCCCACGGGACAGGGGACAAAGTAGAAAGAGGTGACTAGTTGGGAATCTATGTTAGTAGTACCTGAGAAAGGTGATGGTGGTACTGAGTAGGTGTTGTGAGTTGGAAAATAGTCAGATTCTGGAGAAATGTGGTCGATTAAGCATTACTGATTGTTTGAATATGTGTGGGGAATGTACATTAGGGAAACAGAGGCAACGAGAATTACCTCCAAGCTCCTTGCTATTCAGTAATGTGATTTGAGGACCAGCAACATCACATCATTTGAAACTTGTTATAAATGCAGAGTCATAGGCTATAACTCAGACTTACTGAATTAGAAGACCACCAGGTGATTCATATATGCATTAAAGTTTGAGAAGCCCTGTGCTAGATTATTGTTTCAATCTTTAGGGAGATTAGTGCTACTTATGGAGATGGAGATTCCTGGGGCAGGAATCAGTTGGGATCGGGAAGAGGGAACCATACTTTCTCTTTTATGTGTGTGAATTTTGAAAGATTCATTTGGCATACAAATGAAGACATCAAGTAACAGTTGGTTATGTAAGTCTGGATTTCTGGGGAATAGTCAGGGCTAGAGATAAAGATGTTGGATTCATTAGCATTTGGGTGGTGCTCACTATCCAATGAATGAATGGATGAACTCACTAGTGAGAGTGCGTTGATAGAGGAGAGGGCTAGGAAGGAGCGGAGCACTATAAAGTCTAGAAGCCTACACTTTTTAAAGAGGAAGACACAGCAAAGGAGACTAAACAGAGGAATGCCATGAGAGTATGGTGTCATGGAAGCCAAGAGCAGAAAGTGTTTTAAGAAAAAGCAGTCAATTGCACCAAATAGTGCTGAGAGGTTGAGGGAGAGAACACAGAAAACAGCACTGAATTTGGCAACATGGAGGTCAGTGGGGACTTTGGCCAAGGCAGTATCAGCATGGTGGGAATTGATACCTTTGGGGTACACAGAGGAGAGAAATTGAGGTGAGTGAGTCCAGACAATGCTTACAGATGAGGTGTTTTTTTAAAGATTTTATTTATTTATTTGAGAAAGAAAGAGAAGATGCGTGTGAGTAAGAGAGAGCACACAAGCAGGGGGAGGGGCAGAGGGAGAGGGAGAAACAGACTCTGTGCTGAATAGGGAGCCCGATGTGGGGCTTGATCCCAGGACCCTGGGATCATGACCCCAGCCAAAGGCAGATGCTTAACAGACTAAGCCTCCCAGGAACCCCTACAGATGAGTTTTTTTTTTTTTTTTCCAAGCTTCTGGGAGATAATATAGTTGTGTTTATTTCATTTGTATTCAGAAACCAATAATCATTCTTGGTTTCTCTTTCTACCATAGCCAAACTCCTAACTCTATTCTAGATGCATGGAGTACAAAGTACAAAACATCCTACCTATTACCTTTAAGAAACTCATAACCTAGTGAGATAGAGATGCACACAAATAATACAATGTTCTGATAATTCTGCATTAGAATTATTGGGGTTTATGGGCTAGGAAGAGAGTTCATATTTTTGCTTGCATAATGCTAGGCACATTGCATGTGTTATTTGATTTAACCCTTACTACATTCCTTTGAGGTTATCCCCATTTTACCAATGGGGAATGGATATTCAAAGATATACAGGACTTGCTTTTGTGTCAGAACTAGTAAATGGCGAAGCTCAAATTTGAACTCAGGTCTGCTGACCCCAGTGCTGTATTCTTTATAGCACCACGTTAGTTTGCATGGTGGAAGAGGGAACAAATAAAAATTATGCTTAGTAAACCGTGAGTGATCCTTCACAAATGGCAATACAAGGATTCCTTAATACTGTAGCGTAGCACCTTATACAGTGTTTAGGGATAAAATTCCAATGGTGAAAATTTTTCAAAAAATTCCATTATATCACTCATATGTCCCTGGGGAATGTTCACACTATGACTGCCACTTAGGTGTTGGGATCAAATGAGGCAAATATCAGATTGTGTCTCACTTCTCATTCAGAGAAACACAATTATTGAGGGGACTCACCTATAATACTGTTATTATTATTGGCTCTGTACATATGGTTTTATTAATATAAGTTAAATATATGTGTCAATTTTATACCTCAATAAAAGATTAAAAATTCACATAACATGCAAATCTAATAAGAGTTAATTTTCTTTTTTTGAGAGAGAGAGCATGAGCAGGGGGGACGGGTGGAGGGAGAGGGAGAATCTTTTTTTTTTTTAAGATGTATCTTTTTATTTTAGAGAAAGAGAGAGAGAGCATGAGGGGCAAAGGGAGGAGAGAGAATCCCAAGCAGACTCTGTGCTGAGTGCAGAGCCCAATGCAGGGCTCAATCTCATAAGCTTGAGATCATGACCTGAGCTGAAACCAAGAGCCGGACATGTAACCAACTGTACCATCCAGGTGCCCCAAATAATAAGAGTTAATATTAACTGAAAACTTACTAAATATGGTCAGTGTACTAGGAATATTACATGCACAGTATTATTCAAATTAATCCACATACTAACCCTGTGGGGTAGGTATTTTTATGCTACCTGAAGGGAAGACTGAGTTTCCTAAGGTCACAGAGCTAAGTTGCTTTCCTAGCCCCAAATAATTCCCATGTGAGTATGCCTTCCACTTTGCACATGGTTTTCCTGGCTTACAATCTTCTGCGCCAGCGAAACCCATCCTTACTGCTAGTTAACCCACAGGGCTTCCTAATCATGTGGCTCGCCCATTTCTCACCAGCAGTAGCTTTTCCCTTTATCTGCATCTCATGTGTTCACTTCTTTCTTTACTGAGGCTCCATAAGACTCACTTTTCCTCTTAAGTCCCTGCTGGAGCTCATTACCGTCTATGGATCAGTTAGGGAGTTTGCATGACTGAGTCTGTAAGTAGGAAACAAACTTCTTCTGAAGTCAGAAACTATTTAGGACCCTGGGACCTGATTTAATGTAAACACAATAAACACATTCCTGTCAGAGTAAAAATCAGTTATTCAAAATTTTCAGAGCAACTGTTTTAAAAGTTTAGATGTTTGCAAGTACCATCTAAAAGGTTCAATAAAAATACTACTTAGCTCAATTCAGATATAATTTGATATTTTTATTAACTAAGCCCCCTTTTGGAGATTATGTACAACTTTTGTTCTTCCAGTCCTCTGCAATGCCTCCCCGGAATCGTGCCCTATTTCTGTAGCTAGCAAATGGGCATTTGCACTGGTGCCTACTTGGATAATGCAAACCTGAATTTTAGGGTTCTACCTAAGGGCGTTTCCCCAGTCCTCTTTGACTCTGGCCTGGTTTTGGATGCCAATTCTCTGTTTCTGGAAAATGCCCTGACCATTGGGAGTGACTATTGTCTCTCACCTTTCTTTCTTGGTGGAAAAGAGCAGGCGGTGATGTGACTTAATTCACTTCTTTCAAGATCAAAGTACAAAAGATGAGGGAATCAACAACGAGGAGGGAAACTGGAACTTGGTGGACTGTCCGGAATGACTCTCGAACCTTTATTTTTTCACTCTCTTGTATTTGAAGCTAGAAGAAGGTAGAGATGATGGTTACATATGGGAATCCATCTAGTGAGATTTGGCTTGGAAATTAATTCTGACACATTGTTTTAGACCAGATAAGCTAGGTAATATTATAGCAACAAACAACACTACAATATCAATGGTTAACCAAAATTTTAGTATTATTTTCAGTCATGCAAACCTTCTGCGGGCCCAGACATCTCTCCAGGTGTCCTCCAGGTGGAAACTGAACATTCTGGGCTGTTTCTACCTCATGACACTTTTCTCTCAACATGGGGCTTTAGGGTTTGTCTAAACAGAGGAAGAGAACATTAGGGATTATGCATTGGCTCTTAAGTACTTCCTCCCCAAAGTGACCTCCGTGTCCCAATCCACTGGCCAGAATTAGTTATAGTCCCAGCTCAACTGCAAAAGGGGGTAAGAAACTTAGTTTTCTGTGTATCTAGGAATGGTTGGAAAACCAAAGTGGGCACTGGCAATGTCTGTTACAGACACCTGTGGGAAATGTCCCTCCAAGCCTCATATTCTTTGACATTCAGGTGCTTAGGGCACATGGGGTATGGCCTGAGGCGAGAGGTGTGTAGGCAGAGGGGCGAGAAATTTGTCCTATTTTGAAGACAACTGATGTCTTCATCCCTAAGCCTGAATGACGAACTTCCAAAAATTTTTCTTGTGTGCCATCTTGGTACAGAGACCATTAAAGAAAAACAGACTAATCTCCTTATAGCCACGAGTAAATAAATACACTTTTACAAGATATTTTATAAGGTGGTCAAGGACTTTGAATTAAGGGCCTAGATCTAGATCCTCCTAGGTACAAAATAGGCAAATGTGGATTTATGTATTTTAAATTCTATTTCTTCCAAGGTTTGTCATAGGATTAAAATTTAAAATAGAGTCCACACAGCAATGATGAATCAGAAAGGGAATGAAGAAAGCTCAGACGTATACACAAAGGATAAGCTATAAAGCTGTGAGCCTCCTCTGAAGGGCAGGAATGGGATCTTTCATTTAACACATCTTAGTTTGTTATCCTGGGAGCATGTTTGATACCAGCTTCTCATTATGGGAATAGTGATCAGGCTCCACTGCCTTACAAACATCGTATATATGTGTATACAATCTCACCTCTAAAATTTCAAGGTAATAGAAAGTAATCTAATTATGTGGATAATTAAAAACAACCAAGTGCAAGTTTAAAACTTGTACTTTTATGACTGCATAGGAGGCTATCAAAATGACAGGGTGTCTGGATGTGATCGTTGCACGCACTCAGATTAAATGAGTGCATTAGTTGATTGTTTCTGGTATGAAGATAAGCAGAGAAAAGTATAATAATGTTGGCATTTAAGTGGACCTAATTAGGCTTCAAGTTTAACACTCCATTAAGATGAATGGGAAAGGGTCACCCCCGTTCAAGCTGTGGCATTGTCTTAGTGTGTCTGGATTTTGCCTCTGAAGACAACAGTCTGTCAGCATATGTTCTCACAGTTACCCCTGGAAAGCAGACTGGAAATTTAATTCTTTTAAAATTAAATCTCAGATTCTGGAGGCCATAGTGGAGTCCATGGGGAGACCTTAAATCTTCTAGTTCTGCAGCTGTATTAGTCAAAAACAACAACAGTAATGATAATACTTTCCCTTGTCTATAGGAACTTTCCTGTGCAGACTTCAGTGTTCCCTGAATATGATCTGGTGAAACTAACAACCTTCAGTTTACCACTGAAGGACCCTGTCCATAGAAGGAATGAGTGACTTGGGTAAATTTACAGAGCATGTCACTGGTAAAGCCAGAAATAAAATGGAGGGACTGCTCAGTTTTGTTGCAATAGTTTGTCATCCATCAGGGAAAGGGAATAAGAAATAATGATCTCATGCTAAACTGAGTGCACATGCATGTGAAAGAAAACCCAGGAATCAAAGAGCAGCCCAGCACAACAGACCTGTTTATAGGCGAGTCTTACCATCCTGCCATATGGAAATTTGGCTCAGTGATAGGTGAGTAGGAGAAACCTGTAGTTATGACAATGGCCAACCCAAAGTGTATGGATGTGGTCTGAAACTTAGGCTACTCTGGAGCACATTCACGATCATCAACCCAAAGAGCCACAGGGTTACCCTGTGCTTTTCACTGACTGGATTTGGAAATTAGATGTGTGGATATTGCATAAGAAGAAGGCACGTATGGTTTGAGTTGAGTGGTTGGGTAATGGTTGTCATGATTTTCTGATTCTTTGGAAGGTGGTATGGCTACATCTCCACTGTAATCTCAGGACTGGCAATTTATAATTCTGGTTATGCTATAGTTTCCGTTCATGTCACTGGACAATTTTTCTTGCTAAAATTTAGTTGCTGCTTTTTAAAATTAGTGAGATGACGTATAGCCTGCTTATCCAAATTCTTTGTTTTGTGGCTGTGTTCTTCAGTAAAATTGTAAGAAGGAAGTTTTGGTATACAACTGGTAGACCTATTACTATGTCCAGCTCTTTTCTAAATGTGAAATTATTATAAATTTTGGAATTGTTTAAATGGGTCCAATTGTAATAAAATAATGGCAGTATGTTTTTATTAATCATTGATCTTAGGCTTTTGGAGTTGGATGGAAGGAAATGTGGTTCTTAGAGCCAAATGCTTACTAATGCTGAGATTCATTATTTCAGATCCCTGATTGATGATATGCTTTAGCTTGAACATTTCTAATAATGGAGAGTTGAGAATGGCATGATCATTCCCAAAAATGTTGACCATCTTGAATTATTAGTTCTTCTCACTCTGTCTTGTAATATTCTATACTTATTGATACTAATCTTGACTCTGAGAATACATCTGCTATTTGATAGCTTTCAGATACCTGAAGCAAGTGATCATGTTAATCCCTTAGTTTTCTCTTTTTCATTCATTATAGGGCATACAGAAGTTTTGAGAAACTTTGCTTCAAAGGTTTCCTTTTTTTTTTTAAAGATTTTATTTATTTATTTGAGAGAGAGAATGAGATAGAGAAAGAGAACATGAGAGGGGGGAGGGTCCAGAGGGCGAAACAGGCTCCCCACTGAGCAGGGAGCCCGATGCGGGACTCGATCCCGGGACTCCAGGATCATGACCTGAGACAAAGGCAGTGGCTTAACCAACTGAGCCACCCGGGAGCCCTGCTTCAAAGGTTTCCCTCAAGCTTTAGTATTATGTGAGGATTCAAACTAGCTTAAAAATGCCTATGGTGTATCATTAATACTTGGTTATTCTTGGGGCGCCTGAGTGGCTCAGTTGGTTAAGCATCTGCCTTCAGGATTGAGGGTCCTGGGATGGAGCCTCACATCGGGCTCCCTGCTCAGTGGGGAACCTGCTTCTCACTCTCCCTCTGCCTGCCACTCTCTCTCTGTCAAATAAAATAAAATCTTTAAAAAAATACTTGGTTATTCTTACTCATTGAGAACAGATAAGTTAGCATTTGGAATGGATTCACTTTCACAGTATATTTTAGCTTTTATATTGGTCTTGTTTTAGGGAAAATGAAATTCATTTGGTCTATCCTAATTAAAAAATTTATTTGTAGTAAAATTATTTGTAATAAATTTGCCCCAAAAAGTATCATTTCCAATAATGCTTTGACAAGATAAAAACATGTAAATGGAAAAAAGAAATAAAAAATCAAAAAATAAGATAGAACTGGGTAAAGTTCACCATATAAAATAACAATTATGATGTTATTACATACTTATTTGTGGTGGGTCCAAATTTGATTCTGAACTTGCTAGCAGCCAATTCAAAGAGAGAAATAAGATCAATTATGAGACTAAGAGCATCTAAAATGATTCAGAGACAATTGGAAGAAACTTGATTCCTCATGCTGAGTCCTGAGAACACTTTTTCCTGAGTTTGCAAAGAGATGACTTTCTATATTGAAGTAAGACTATCTTCAACAACATTTAGGTAATGAATTCCACAACAGATTTCATAGGACTCTTTCATGATAAAGTGATAAAAATTCCCAAGTGCAATTGCCTGGTACTTAGTAAGTGCTTATAATGGGTTAAACTGTCTCAGGCCCAGGCCCCCTGATTTCCCCCACCCTCCCTCCCGCCCCCACCCTCCCTCCCGCCCCCCAAAGAAGTTGAAGTCCTAATGCTCTGTACCTGGGAGGGTTACATTATTTGGAAATAGGGTCTTTGCAGATGTAATCCAGATAAAAATCAGATCATACTGAACTAGGGTGGACCGTCATCTGATGTGACTGGTGTCTATAGAAAGAGAAGAGACACAGACAGAGACATAGAGGGAATATGGCCATGTGAAGATAGAAGCAGAGATTGAAGTCATGCTGCCACATGCCAAGGAACACCTGGGGCTCTGAGGAGTTGGAAGAGACAAAGAAGCATCCTCCCTTAGAGCTTTCAGAGGGAGTGTGGCCCTGCCAACACATTGATCTTGGATTTCTAGCCTTCAGAACTGTGAGAGAAGACACTTCTATTGTTTTAAGCCACTCGATTTCTGATACTTTGTTATCCGGGCAGCCCTAGGAAACTGATATCGTGCTCAATACATATTTATCAATGTTTGGATGAATTTTATGGACCACTTGACTGATAGGAAAGGGCTGCTCAGAAATTTAGAGACTGCTGTGATTGACGAAGAAAAAAATGGATATACTCTCACTGGATATATTTATGTCCATTTCTATTTTTTACTAAAGTCAGCATTTCTACATAGAAGATTTATTTATTGTGGGGTTATAATTAATAAACCACGATCAGGAGGTTTAATGTATAGATTTGGCCACAACAGGTACCATCTTATTTCCTGTGACATACAGCTCTTCTCAGAGCTCTGTGCAGCATCTAGCATATAGTAGGTAGTCCATAAATGTTTACGGGAATTCCATGGTAAATTCTATTATTACATGATTAATAACGAGGGTAGAGGAAGGTCTTGTTCCCAAATCCTATTATTATAAAGGAGACGTATTACACCTATATATTTTAATTAGCAGGGTCACAGGAATCCTGTTATCTACCCTTGTGAATTTTACTATGTATGGGTGTTCCTGCTTCTTTTTCATTAGTCCTTTTCTCAAAACACATACCCATGACTTCAATCCTTATCATCTCCTACTATCTTCAAGAAATCAAATAAATCAATGACTCCCTAAACACCGAGAGAAAGAGAACATGAAAAATGAGCCAACAGGAAAAGCAACGTCTTGATTCTGGTTGGGACGCAGTCTACCAAAGTTGTTGCGAGGCCAGTTTCAATCTCCTGAGCACTGGCTTCCCTCCTACTGCTCTATCCTCAAGGCAGTCAAATGTTATGATAAGATAAAGGCAGCCACGAATGGGTCATATGCCCACTACAAATTATGAAAGCTCACCAAACACAGATGAATATCATGCATGATGAGCTCATTTGGAGAAAAAAGATGTCACATTCTTTTCAATAACTTAATATTTTATTTGGAATGGTAAAGCTTTTGAGAATCACTGAACTCCTATGCATAGTGGTACTTTCAACTTAAAAAGCAGAGATGGAGTCTCACAAGGTTTCAGTGCCACAATCCTCATTCTGGACCTGAAAGGAAGACATGAAAAAACCAAAAGAAACAAATAAAACAAAAAACAAAACCAAAAAATGTGGGGGGCAATCTCTAGGGGAACCCATGGAAACACGGACTGCTTGAATGCTCCTGTGTTTGCAAAAAGTTCTGTTCTATTCATCGGTCCTAGGTTCATCCCACCGGTGGTCCCACCCCTGTCAGAAATATAATGGAGCACAATCTCGAAACTGCCCTGCCCTTGCAACATTCACAGGTTCTCTCTCCCCCTAAATTTGAGCAGAGGCACTTTTCCTTTCTAAAGAGCAGCATCTGGCCTCTTCGTGTGCTCATTTGCATGCCAATACTGGATTGCTCTCCCAGCGCACAGCTATTTAATAGTGGTGCTGGTGTCCGAGCTCTGGGAACAAACCAAATGGTTTGGGTGTGCTTTTGTGTGCAGTGCGGGTCGTTGCTACAGTGTGCTTATTAAGAATAGTACACATTCATTATAACAAGATTGCTCTTTTGCTCAGGGGCCATCACGGCCCATTCTGTAAATGAATTAACAGTAGCATGCATTTGTGTATTATGGGCCCAGAAGATGCATTTGTTTATTAAATAAATCTGCAACACAGAAAGTATAGTTGAAAAAAAAAAAAACCTAGAAAATAAAGTGCGCATGTACAGTAGCTATTTGTTGTTGTTGTTTTTGAAACCTCAACGTCTTGGCGAGTTTTCCTCCTTTGTTTCTTTTAAATTACCAGACATCACAGGCCACACTATAGACTACCAACCAGTCTGCAAAATTTGATGTTAATAAAAAAAAAAAAAGAAACCAAATTTAAGTTGCAGAAGCACAAAACATTTCCAGGAGTGGTTCTGTAAATAATCACATACCTTTAAAATGATTTAATATTATGATTCTTCTGTTTCTCTTTAAATTCTCTTGTTTTTCTTTAAATCATTTATTATTTTTTAACTTAATTTTTATTTTTGGCTAAAATTTAGCTTGCATCGCATATATAATGTCCCCCATTAAACTCTGTTCTCTTTTGAAATACAAACTCTGTTTTTGGGGCATTCATCTAATATCGATCCCTTTATTTCCAACCTTTTGGCCCAGGTATAGCTAGTATATTAATAAACATGAGTCAGTCTGTCGGATTTTATTCCTGTTCACTAACGATTCTTTAAAGCCCAGTGGTGGTTCACAATTGCACTGAGAACTCAGAGTATGGTTTTAGTTCTGGCTACTCGGTATTTCTTTCCACTTATATTTTGTATCTTGCTGTCTTTAATATGTAATCTGGTATGTTGTGCACTGAAAGTATAAGGGAAAGAATATGGAAAGATTTTAAAATATGGAATGCTAAGAGTCTAAAGCCACAGCTGGGATAGTAGGAAATCTATTAAAATGAACTGAGGAAAAAAAAGGAAAGAAGAAACGGTCATATTCCTAAATTTTTGAAATTCTTATGTTACTTAAAGGCCGAATGTGTTTTACAAAGATAAACTAATTTCATATTTGATTTCTTGAAAAATTTCTATAAAACCCAGGGATAGTAAGTAAAATTGGCCAACATATTTTAAAAGAGAAAGCCTGGCAGAATGAGTGGATGAGGATTTCATAGATTTTTAGCTTAGCAAAAGATCTATGACACTATTAAACAAATACCCAGCTAATTAGTACAGCTGCAATATAAAAAAGAAATGTGTTTTGTAAGAAAAATGGCAGGACTTATAAAAGGTGTTCCACACGTAGCAAAAATACATAGCTGATTGAAGCAGGATTACCCTTTTCTTTCACGTGGAATCTTCAACATTTCGCATTTTGTCCTTAAAGAATAATATTCAGCTCTGCTATTTGTTGGGGAAAACCCCCCCCAACAAATCAACAACCCACCATTGTAGCAATTGACTTGAGAATTAGGTAAGGGAGAGAAGAAAAATATTTGAAACTCGATTCCTTTTCTTTCATCCTTTTTCTTGGGGAGGGGAGGGCAAAAGCTCTATTTTCCAGAGCATTTTATTTCTTCCACTGCAGCTTTTAGAGAGGCCAGCCGATCAGAAAGTCTGTAAGGGCCCGGGCCCAGACTCGGTGCTGAGCTCCGAATGTGATTCCAGTCCTGACAGGGGGATTATAGGAAACAGATGACTTACGCTTCTAATTTGTGGCCTTAAATTGCAAACAGAATTTCAGGAGTCGAGCAGAGTAATAAATGGCAGTAGAAAAAGCCACACACAGCCAAATCAGTATGTGGTGGTTGTAGGTTAAACTAAATGGGAAGAGACAGGTTATGATGGTTCAGTGTATTACAGAGAAGAAAGTCTTAAATTACCAGTGCTGAGAGGTATTGCTCCGCCGCAGACAGCGTCGGATTGTGCAGCCTACAGATATCCCAAGCAGAACAATAAAAAAAAGCAGGTTTAACGTAGAACCTGTTGCTGGAGGAATCATTTTTTCCCCTCTTTTAGAAATGGAAGCGGTGTTTTATGTTTGTTTTGACCTCTGCTGTGTACTTGGCCCCTTAACATCTGTTTTCGACCGTTGCCGTTTTTCACACCAAATTAAATGTCGAGGAGTCAGATAAAATAAGGTCGAAATATGTCCAAATTATTTTTGTTGACTTCCAGCAAATGTCTTGGTAACTCTTTTCACATGGAACAATACCATTTAAATGCCAACGTAGAAAATTATTTTCCTTTCAACATTTTAGGAGCTAAAGAAAGGAATTTTGAGGTGTACTTAAACTCGGGAAATATTGCATTGGCCTTTTTGGTAACTTGCCTGACTGTTTAAGGCTTGCTTGAAGCCCATTGCGCCATATAAAGTTATGTGCATTTGTTGGATAGAAATTCCAGGAAAATTGTTTAACAACAGCATGTAAAAAAGCCATTATTCAGACCTGCTTCAAACCGTAAATACCAGTTAGAATCAAGAGATCTGCTGTTTACCATAGGGAAACCAATATGCGTTTGCTTTCCTTCATAATCTCTAAATGTGGGTTAATGTGTACACGTGTGAGGAGAAACAGTTAAGACCATAATGACACGGATTTTCATCAACGTAAGAAGTCCGGCTGTCATAAGTCTGTGGTATGAATTTAAAAAGTGGCATCACATTTTTAACTTCTAATCTAATAAATATTGTGATAAAAGTAAACTGTCTTTTTCCGAAAAGAATACCATCTTCTTTTAAGATCTAACACGTCTGTGTATCGGAGACTGACAACTAATTCATGATAAAGATTGATTCAAAAATAACTACCCCATCCTATATTATTTATTGCCAATTTATCAAAATAACTTGTTCCTAGTGAATGATAGAAACAGCGCTCACATTAGTCCACAATGCTGGGCTTGAAGTGGAGCCAAATAGAATCTACAGTTTTTCTCCCACTTTCCTTATGAACAACGAGTCTATCTATCACACTAATTTTCGCATCTTTTAACTGCTGTGTTATCTTTGAACTTGAGTCTTCTGTTTAATATGCTGAAGAAAAGATGTTATGTGATGGGTAACCTAGGGAAAATGAACTATTTTCATTGTGCTCTTAAGCAAGTCTGTTGATAATCATTGAAGATGACTGGCTAAATAGATTTTGATTAATCACTTGCAAAAATTATGCTTGTTAGAACCACTTTATATTCTGTGTCATGGTGATATCAGTGTAGGTTATAGCTATTTCTTTGTAGATGGTGTGTTTTGTTTTTGGTTTGTTTTTTGTTTTTTGTTTTTGTTTGTTTGTTTTTAAATCACCTGGCAAAAAGAGAAAACAAACCTTAGTTGAAAGCTTTTGTCTCTAACAGAAAACTCTTTTCATGCCTGCCTTTTTTTTAAGAAGTGCTCAATTATTATTTGTGTCATAGTGGGAAGACTGGGTCTCTATAGGGCCTGAACCTTTTCAAACAGGAGAGAGCTTTTGTTTTTTTACCCCATCAACACTGATCACCTAATTAAATCTGATATCTCTGGCTGAAGCAAAATGATTTGTAATAGTTCTTTGGAGTTTACTTAATTAGTTTCGATGTCTTTTGTGTGGTAAATGTGGTGATATTTTCTAAAATGGAACTGAGAAAAGAGGAGGCAAAATGCACTCTTGTAAGGGATGGGAGAGAGGGAGGTGAGAGGGAGGGCAGACCCGTATGACCAAACCATGAAAGCAAGGTGTAGCCCCAACTCAAGGCCTTACAGACCCGAGTATTCATTAGTTGAGATCATCAAAGCAGACCTGACCTGGACAAAGGCTTCCTGTCAAACGTAGGCCTGGGCATCTGTCAGGGCCTCAGATTCTACACCTTGATCAGCCCAAGACACTGACACCATTTTCTTTAACAAACACCAACAGTCTTTTTTCTCCTTCATTTTAACATCTCTCAGGGGTTGGATTCCCTTTCTTCTTCCGCTCTGTAGAGAGTAAAGGGAGCTTGTTAACTTGCTTAGATAGTTTGACTGCGGATGCTCTTTGGCCACTTGCCTGTGGTAACAATGTCAAAGCATAACTTGGTATAATTGCTGTATTTGCAGTCAGAAGAGTGTTCAAGCGCTGAATAAAAAGGAAGTGTCATTTTGGAAAATCCTGTAAATTATCCTCAAAGTTCAGGCAAAATACAATGAGTGACATACCTGGTATGTCTCATGTTCATTGCCAAGCTATAGAAGAGTAAAATAATGGGGTTTTAACGAGCTGAATCGAAAAGCTATACATTCCCATGTTTGTTAGGCTGAGATTGGTGCCCAAGAACATAAAATCAAACTTAAAATGAAAGCGGTAGAACGGGGCTTTTTATAATTTAAAAAGTAACTGAAAAGCGTTAGAATTTTTATTTATCCATTGTGTCACAGTTTATATACGGTATGGGTTACAAAGGACAATTTTTGATGGATCTTCATTTAATAGAGACGTCCATAGTTTACAGACATTAGCAAAGCAATACCATTCTGCAAGTGGAAATTAGGATTGCAGTGGAACTTATTGATGGGTAATAATAGATGGCAAGCTAGAACCATATTCATTACAAGATGCACTTTTAAAGTGAGAGTCATATTCACTCTGTATTCTATATGTTTTCAGAGTCGTTTTGGTAGGAACACTGCAAAATGGGATTTGTGTGGTTTTTTTTTTTTTTCCCCTTAGTACGTAACGATGTGAAATTTGAAGCAAATGATGACCATGGATATCCCTCTGGCCTTTTCTGTGCGAGATGCATATGTGCACCTCTTCAAGGATAATCCTTACAGAATGAGTGCCCCCTGATCATTACGTAACACTGGTAGGCATGGGGCTGACAAGGCTGGCATTCTTTAGTCTGAGAAAAATGATCTTTTCAGTTAAGTAGACCCTTCCTGTGTCTCACAAACCATACAAAACCACGTGCTCCTGGCAGGTAATGGCTAGTAATTAGCGTGGCAGGCAGGTAATGACTTGAAATCACCTGCCAATTGTTTCTGAGTGTTTGCTCTCTTTCAAAACTCCGGATGAGTGGGACAGTCATGGGGGCCTATACTGACGCAAATGGAGAAAAGGGGAGGCACACAACCAGGGAATCTCTTTCCAAATAGAGTATCTCCCCATTTGTTGCTTATTTTAGCCCCACATCCTCCTTGAGGGGCTCCACAGAGGCATTGAGAATTGGCAGGTTACTTTACCTTCTTGCTGCTCCTACTGGGAGAGATGGTGCCTGTTGAGAAATTCTTTGCTGTTCTGGAATCAAACCAACCTTCTTAGTGTCAGCTTCTGCACTAGAAAATTGGGATTCAGAGAGTAATGGCAGCTCAGCTTGTTTGTAAAGAAGCATGAGTTACTCAAAGCCAGATTTTGCTTCCCGGTTATAGCCTACTTCT